TTTTGCTTCCTGCCATTGAATCCATACAAATGTATGTGTGTGCGTGTGCATGTGCACCATGGGGACAATCTTAACTGGCCATATGATAGCCACCTGTGTAAACGGTTGGAGTATTTCATGGCTCTGAAACACAGGATCCTCAGAGTGCTGTTCCTGTTGCTGTAGGAGACCTGAGCTGTGACCTCCTTTTAGCAGGGGAGAGAACAGCAGGTGGTGAGCAGCAGACCTGAAGTACGCCAACATACGGTTTTAGGCAAAAAGCGTATTTATGTACACTCTCTGTTTTCTATATCTTGCTATGAATTTTCACGTTTCCTTTTTTGCTCCTACTTTCAGGATTTTTCACTTCAGTGTGTGTAACTAGACAACCCCTGGACAAGGAAACGAGCACGTTGAGGGCAGGAAGAGCTTGCGTTTCTGTCTCTGTGGGTCAATCAGGAAGTGAAAAAGGCCTCTGTTGAGCATGCTGAATATTGACACAGCATTGCCATGAGTGAACATATTTTCTGTGTTCAGTCGGCATAAAAGAAGCACATTTAGACATTTAGATGTGTCTTAATCAAATAAACACTCAGCACCAAGTCCCAATCAAATGCTCGTTCGAATAACTCAAACTTCCTGGAAAAAGCTTCTAAAGAAAAAGGACTTTGAAAGATGTGAGAACATCTGCCTAAAATGTTTGCCATGAATGTTATCATTCGTGAAATTTCTTGCATTTACAAAGCACAAATAATGTAGAGTGGTAATATCTGCAGTGCACAGCACACAGAATAAAAAACAGTATTGGTGGAATCCCAGGGAAATGTGCAGAAGAACAGAATTTTAATGGAGGTGGTAAGAAAGCGAGCCTGTGGCTGCTGTTGTTTTTATGTGTAGGAGGACTGCATGGGAGGGTCCTTGGAGCAAGCTACTATACAACATTCAGAAATGTTAAGAATTGAGCTGTTATTTTTTCTGATCTAAGGCGGATTTCTGATTGATTATTGCCACTAAACAGGGGGTAAAGGAATTGGAGAAGAGAATGTTGTACCCACTGGTTCTGGTGCATTAGCTGCTTTAAACAGCTATTAATCTGAGGAATCGGAAATGAGAATCTGTCGAAGGAGCTTTTAGTCTAGAGGCAAAGCTGAAATATGTTTTTACATTAGTGCCTTAAGAGTGATGAAACTGTGCGTCACATTGTGTCTGATAGTATCAGCTCATGGAGGAGCTAACGTTGAACAGTTGTCTCACCCCGTGACAACAGATGAGTGTCTATAATTACACCAGGCAGTAGAATAGCACATATAATGCATATTACAAGACCACCACTCACACAAAGTCCTTCTGTTCTGGTGGGGGACAGGTGCAATGTGGGAGTTGCAGCCAGTCATCAGATCCCAGGGTGGTGTAGGGGTGTGGGGGTGTGACTGCAGCTGCTACGGCCCAATGCAATCATTTGCAATTCCATATCGCCACATGGGTCTTAATTTATAGGCCTGCTATGTTATGACGTCAACTGATGCTTTCTGTGTGTATCTTTGTTGTTTTTGTGATGCTTAAATTATTCAAGTGTATATCTATGAATGAAAATAAAGACTCAGCATTATGGAATGGCATCCAGTGCTACTTTTGTGATAGACTTTTAGACTAATATCATAAAATGATGAGAAAAGTTACAGCCTTTTTGGTCCAACCTTTAAAATAATATATTGAACAGTCTCATCCAGTTAGCAAAATGTTATGCTCAAAGTGTGTGTCCTGAATGATTCTCATCTACTGCCACGTTAATTTTTAGTTAGACATCTGTAAAAAAAATGTTTAGCTGTAGTAGCCATCTTCACCTAAATTGGCTCCAAAAGTTATTAACTTGTAAAGGTTCATTCTGACTTTGCGCTGCCATGATTCTCTAAATACTTTTAAAAAGCAGTTGAAGACACATTTGTTCAGATTGGCTTTAATTAGTTTTATTTTATCTTATGTCACAATAGGGATGTGCATCTTTGTGTGATAGACGATTCGATACACATCTAGATACAAAGGTTACGATTCAATTAAAAAATGATATATTATAAAAACAGAACGTTTCGATACGATTTGACAGTCTAAGAGCGATACGATTTGATTTGACTTTCGATTATACCTTTTAACCATAGATGACAACAGTGGCAAGTCCTGTTACTCTTTCCACCACTGTAGTGGGGTCTTTTTCGGGGGCAAAGGATCACTCTCTCTGTACCTCTTCTTCATTGGCCTGGTCCCTTACAGATCTAGCTGCCATCCTTACTTCAAAGTCTTCTCCCAACAGCTGGTCCAGGGCTGACATTTTATGCTTTTTACAAGGAGGTTTATCATCTGAAATAGAAAACAATTACCAATGGCGGAATCATATTTCTGAGCTCTAACGTATGAATCAAGTGCTGAAATCCTTCCCCCTCCACTATATTGTACGGACATAAGCCCTTAGTGATAAAATGGGTTATTGATGGCGTTATATCCTTAGCTCGAGATGAATTATGGCCCAGTTGCCTGTAAAATTTTGTGATGACTCCTGCTCGTTGTTGTGGGGCTTGAAAAGTTCACCATACTCCTCTGTGGTTTTTTTTTGTTGCATGTTGGTCAAGGTTTGTTGTGTTACCAGTGTACTTCAGAGATGCTCTGCATAGCTTGCAAATAGCATGGCTTTTGTTGAGTTTTCCATCATTATTGCAAAATCCGAAAACGTTCCAAACTTTTGATTTTTGTCTGGCTGATGTATTGAAAATGTTTCGGTGACTCTTTAGCACTACTACTATTTACATCCATTCTAGTCTTCAGTCTTGGTGAGCTAGGGAGCATGTGCAAGAATAGCTTTGGAGGCATTCCCAGCTCTCGTGTTGTTTTAGAGACAAAACTTTCAACCTATTGCTAGTCTTGCGATACCTGCTCCATGTCTCTTCAACCGATTCATCTCAGGATTTGTGACTGGTTGCTATCGATTTTATACGGCTGCTACCGACGCAACCATGTAAATAGCTTGTCAAACCGGATATCCAGTCGTACCGATTTATTTTTCACAACCCTATGTTACATGTAAGTTGTTTTATATCTTCTGTTTTATCTTTTGTGGTTGTATGTCTTATATTCTGTAAAGCACTTTGTGGTTTGTGACCTGTAAAAGGTGGTATATAAATAAAGTTTACTTACTTACTTACATTCAATAATGATCATATTTGACTTTTTATAAATGCCACCCTTTAGCTCATTAGATCTGCTGTTAACAGGCAGATATGCAAACACATGGGTCAAAACATTATCAACCCCCTTTGTATTTTGGTGGCTGCAATAACAGTTTTATAATTTCAAGCAGACATTTTATTTTGTCTGTGCACAATGAACTGGTGCTTCAGCATGGATCAGCGTGACCTAAAGTTGGTGTCAACACACAGTCATGGGAAAGAGACAAAGACAGAGAGAAACAGATGCACCCCAGGGAAATATAAAGGAGACAAATTCTGCTTGGCCCCATGAAATGTTAATCCTTGGGATTTTTGGGGGTTTGTAATGCATTTGTGACTTCACACGACATCGGTCACATCTTGCACATTGTTTTTGTCCCATGACACTATTCAAAATCGTGAGCCATCACCACATACAGCAGTACACATGCATAAATATTACAAGAAAACAAAAAGCCTCATAAGAAAATGAAGAAACCCATGGTGTGAGGAGTCAAAGCAGAGTGCAGGATATGCCAAAACAAAGTAACAGAAGTGACATGTAAACAGACAGAATAATTGGACAGGGTGAAAAAATTAAAAAAGTTTGACGAAAGGAACCCCGTGCATGAAAATCCATGGTAACAATGATAATAATTAACCACAAAGAAACAAGCACAAAGGGGATAATTGAAAATGAAAGAAGTGCCAGTTAGCCTTGGCTGAGGTCCATGTAAGTGCGGCATGAGCTTGAAGAAAAAGAAGGTGAAGGAGAAAAGCGGTGGAGAAAAAGCAGGGGGTGGTCTGTAGAGTGACAGATTAGTTTTTTTCTTTTTCCAGGAGGGAGAAGTCTTACAGAATTTGACAAAGCACACAGCTGCCCTGGAGGAAAAAGGAAATCTCGAGACAGTCTCGAGGAAGATGCAGACGTTTTAAAACTCTCCTTTCCCTGATCTAAACTCTAAACATCACTGTTCACTTTTATGAGCATTTTGTCACTCTCACCACACTGCAGCAGGTGACCTCAGATCAGGAGCGCGGGCAGAAACTGACTCACTCATAAAGGTTTAAGCTGAGCTTTGGATCCTCCCCGACTGCCTGGGTGAGAGCAGTCAGGAGCTAAAGCTTCACTTTCTTCCCCCAGTGCTGAGAGACTGCACGCCAGGCACGAGGCTCCCTGCGCCCCCCACCCTCCTCCCTTCTTCCACTCTGATTTTTCCTGGGCTCATGTCCAGAGAATGACTGGCCTCAGTGGACCCAAGAGGAGGATCTGAGACTGAGGACACATTACGGCAGCTCCAGCTCTGCCTGCCTGTCTGCCTGCTGGGACAGACAAAGGTTCTAGCAATTAACAGCTTCTACCCTTTTCTGGGATTCTTAGACTTGTGGTTTTTTTTTTTTTAGTTTTTAATTTCCTGTTCTTCACATCAGAAAGAGCGGATCTGCGTTCAGACAGACAAACAAACAAACGGACTGACATATGGAGCAGTGAGCACTGCAGCGTGAATGTAGCAACTGGACCTCTTTCCCTGGTTACTAAGACCAAACAAGGATAATAGCCAAATCACTTTCTTTTCCACCAAGGTAGTGGGTGGATGCAGCTTTCAGCAGACTGCTATAGGGGAAAGCAGCCCCTGCATCGAGACTGCGGATATACATCTAGTTGATCGACACTGTGGTGATCCTACAGAAACAGACTCTTAGCTCTAAGAAGACTTTCTGCGAATACTTAATTGTGCAGAAACCTGTGGATTTATACCTTTTTTATTAGCCTGCTGCTCAAGCTAAGTGGACTTAATTGGTTTTGAACTTGATGAGTGTAAAATGTTTGTGTCAGTGATGATGGCAGGATGCAAAAGGACTGTGAATAAGTCACTGATACTGATATGTCTTCATCTGCTTGGGATGGCTCTCTCAGCGGATAACATCTACCCAAGGATACGTCTCTCCCACAAAGGTAAAACAAAATATGTTTTTGTGCTTTATTTGGTCGTTGTATGAAATATGTGCTATAAATAAAAAATGCACTCTGCACTAAAATGAAGAAAAACATCATTTTGAGATAAAGAAAGAACAATTTTCTTTACTTAGAGCCATCACTGCTGTGAATTAAGAATGAGACAGGTGTAACTGTGTATCCCTGTTCACGTGCCTCTTGTTATCATTGACTTTATCCAAACCCAAAGTGATCCAAGATGGAAATATTGTAACATATTAATGATAATGCCTCATCTGTTGTGAATAAACGATTAATCTTTAGTAGCTTTGTATTAAACATTGTGTTTTGTAAAACAAAAAGAGCTAAAGCACATTGACACACAGAAAGAAAATAAACTGTCTTTTCTGTGAGTGAGAATAAGAAGCATGCAGGTTTTCAATGGTGTGTAATGATATGGTCATTGAAGATTTATGCTTTAACCTGCGAGGCACCAAGCAGAAGGGGGATCTAAGAAGAGTAACTTCTGCTATCTGGATTAGCTTTTGATGTTTCAGCCACGCACACCTTGATGCATTTTGTTTTGGTCTTTCAGCTACAGTGGCTGAAGATCCACAGTGTGGCGTGGCTCAATGATTGGATATATTTTTCCTTTCTTTTGACTCAAGAATGTGTCTGTGAGAAGTGTTTATGTGCTTGTGGCTGTTTACTTGTGTTTTTGAGTGTGTACTACGGATGTGCACGCACTGGTATGTGCACTGACTGCTGTGTATCTTTCTGACAATAATGAGGGGTTTTATCTTTGCAGATAAAACTCCTAAGTAAACATTGTATTTTTTCTCTTTTTCTTTGATCTCTATAGCAACAGAAGGAGATGATTCCACATAAGCCTGTTAGTCATGGCTGGAAATAGGTGTGGAATTTGAACGGTCAGGAACTCATAAATGTGCACTTGGAGCATGTAATGAAAAATGACAAGACTTGTCCATCTGTAGGGAGGTGTAAAAAGAAAATATATATATATTGTAAAATAAATTGGTGCAATGCAAAATGCTGGAGAACAGAAGTAAAAACAATTAAGGAATTAACTTTTTCAAGAATCGAGATTAATGTTCTGGAGATCTAGAGTTACATTTTCATCACAAGTAATCAGATAACTGCTGACAAGTCCAATCATTAATGCCACGTAAAAACCAGGTGTGGTTGTTATTTTTCATGTATCACCCAGTTCGTAAACTACCTGCAGGCAGGGCTGCCACATTGATTGACATCCCTCCACATCGCAGTCTCAACGCTCGAATACGTGTCCTGGCTAGCACTCAGCGCCGTGAAAAGGCTGAAGTTGGATCCCATCATCATGGAATGATAAACATCCAAGTCCTAATACATGCCTCATGGGCTCTGCCAGTTAAATTTGCACACACCCTTCAGTCAGTTCACACTAACTCATATGTACATACACAGACATGGGCGCGGGCAGAATTGTGTGAATTTTTCACACACGCAGGACTTGGAAGCGGTTCAGGGAAATGAAGAAGGATGCGGTTTTAAGTATTCATTCATACGACTATTTCCATAACATCTGGTATCACAGCGATGTGGAAAAAAAATAAGCTGCTCTTTGTGGGATAGACTGACGCTGAAAAGCAACTGTTAATTACATCAGAACTGAAATATTTTTAAACCTGCTTCTGGTCAGGAGGGCAAATACAGAGAGGAATCAATAGTAAGCTCAATGAAACAGGCGGTCGGCTTTTTATGGCTTCTTGGAGTGAACTCCATAGAGCACATTATCATGTGTTTCAAATATGACCTAACTATTGATCTTTTGGCTTTGATGTTATCCACACATTGCATGCGTTGAGAAAGTAGCATCTTTTTTTCTCCACGTTTCATTTATATTCTGTCTAGACTTCTGGACCAGGGAAGATTATTTCATATGAAACTGCCTTCATCTCAGTCATCCTTTTATTTGCTTACACCCTCTGTTAACTCAGGGCTGTTAGCTTAATTACACAGAGTATTGAGTTACGAACACTGAAACCACGCTGCCTTCAGAAATAATTGACCTTAAGCTTTGGCAGACCAACATGTAAAGACTTTAAACATATGTCTAAAGATGTTAATACACCTTAACTGCTTGGATGTTTGTCCTATCTAACTTCATAAATCAAGAGGTTATTATACTAAGAATTGCCCCTGTAGGCAGGTACATGCTTTGTGAAGCAAAAATGAGAACCTACTGTTCAGTTTTTTTGCTCCATGTGACTTAAATCTGCATCAGTGCGGTTTCTAGATCAGCAGACGCAGAGTGAAATGAGATCCTTCTTTAGGAAAACCATCAGTTTCGCAGTTAATGAAGCTATTGCACAGCTTGTTTTGTGTCAGAATGTCAGCAGGTTGTAGGTAGGCGGTCAGGCTTTGATTTATTTTGCTGCCTCCTCAGTTCTGTCATGATGCTTTGGCTAAAGCTGCTGGTGAGACAGCAGTTTTTGTAATGAGAGGATGACCTCAACCTAACCCTTAAGACTCCAAACTTGTGTTTACATGGTTTATTCTTAATTGTATTCTTTGTAAATCGATACAGGAGCAAAAAATGTTTTTGAAACTGTTGTGAAGAATTGCATGGCCACCCTTTTTTTGTTCAGGTAAAAGTTGTTGAATTTAGTAAAAAAAAGGCCTAATGAAAATGCTTATAACATCACCATTTTAAAATACAGTAGTCCCTCGTTTATTGGGGGCGTTAGGTTCCACCCCCCCCCCCCCCCACACACACACACACACACACACACACAATAAGTGAAAATCTACAAAGTAGGGATGCTATGTTTATTTTAGTATTTATATATTTTAAGGCTTTAGAAACTCTTCCTACACTCTTGCAGTGTTACGCCATTTTAACAACATACGTACCGTACTGTATGTGTAGCTACTACGTTTTACTTACCAGCTCTGCAAAATAGGAGCAGCTCTCGGTTCCAGTCCGACTGTTCTGGTCCATTTCGGTTCATTTCTTCAGACGTAACCTGCAGAGACAAAGCCCACAATCAATGTTCTAAACTCAAACCTACTAATTTTAGCAACATTCTTGCGTATATGTAGCTAGTAAATTTTGATTACCAATGCGTCCCTGCTCAGAGGTCCTCATGAGCCGGCTAGGAGCTCTTGGGTTCACAGCTGAGTCTGGGGGTCCGATTCTGGTTTGGTTCTGTTCAGCTCTTGCACGTCGAAGCGCATTTTGGGTGGGGGCAGACCTTCGTTTATTTTTATTTTTTCCCCCCCATTTACCCTTTATTTATCCAGGTAGTCTCATTGAGCCACAAGAACTCATTTTCAAGAGAGACCTGTTTAGGGAGCTGATGGTGGGGGTTAAGGGCCTTGCTCAGGGGTCCAAAGTGGGGCGAATGAGGGTGGAGGGAGGTGTGGGTGTTTCACCTTTTCCACCCACATTTTGATGTTGACGGTACCGGGAGGTGAACCTGCGACTTTCCAATCACAAGCCCATCTTCTAACCTCTGCGCCACCTCCGGGCGTGGGACCATAGATGCTTGAGTCCAAGTCTGGATGAAAAAAGTCCTGATGTGCTACGGAAACAGTCATGGACATTGGGCGGTGCACGTCCTCTCTCTGAAGTCTTCGTGGGCCGGTAACCAGCTCTCAAAATTCACTAATGGGTCTGGAGGTCTGGTTCTGCTCTGGTTCGGTGGGTTCCGTGCGGCTTCTCTGCATTTGCTGGGTACCAAAGTCACTGTAATAAGCGTCAAACTATTTCCGATCAGATTAAAACTTTCCGTCTAGCTTTTCAGTGGAAGTAAATGTGGGTTCTGGTTGGGGCACTGTTGGCTTCTGGGAAATGTGGTCATTATGAGCAGGAATACAAGGAAGGCTTACTGAGAAAACTACAAAATGGTGGCTCATGTCCCAAGTACTTTGTTTTTTTCGTTAACTTTTTACTGTACAGTACTGTATACAGTACTGTGTCAATCACTTGAGTAATATTAAAGTTGACAATCATATGTCCTGTACATTTTTCTTGTACAGTATTATGAACTGCACGTCCACAAACCGTGATAGAGCGAGTCTGCAAAAGTCGAACCACAAAGTAGCGAGGGACTACTGTATTTACATCATAAATACTTACCTTCAGTTGCCTGCCAAGGACATCCTACCTTAAAATTTAAAAACATAATATTTTTTGTTGAACACATCTTTGAAAGGTGCAACTACTATAACATGATGGTAATTCACTTTGGCAGGTTTCATATTGTGCTGTATATATTGGTTTGTATAAAAAAAATACATGCACTTTCTCTTCTTTAGCCTCACTTTTACTTTAAACACAAACAATTTCAATTTATTTAGAGCTGAATCCATTTCTATATTGAATCTGTAGTTTTTAGCCATGCTTAAAAACTAAATAAATGCAATTGTGACTATAAATTTGTAAATGTGTTATATAGAAAAATACCAAAACCATTTTTCAACCTTTTCTTTTCCCGCTGCACTTGTTGTAATACTGAGCTGAGCAGAAGGCACGTGAAAATATATAAACACAGGGATTACTCAGGTGGCAATTACTGATGTATGAAGCTTCCTTTGAACTGTAATTTTAGACCTTCCTTTCCTGAGAAGAAAAAAAAAGCTCTTGCTGTGTGTTTTACAACCTGCAGTTGATGAGGCTCTTTGAGTAACTTTCGTCTGAACCCAAAGAGGGAAAAACCAGAATGAGCCAAAGATGAATTAAAACAAAAGTGGGATTTTTTTCTTTCTCCTACCTAAAGCTAAAGTGACAGGTGGAGAGTCTTATTAACTTTCTTTTATCTGCATATGAAAAAGCCTGTGTTTAAACATACCATTCTGAATTATGCCTACAGCAAATGACATGCTATAGACCTTGAGTCAAACGTTTGGAAAGTGGAGCATATTGGTGGTGTAGACAGACATCACACCTTTTACGCCAGCAAGTAAAAAGTGATCATTTTTCGAACCTCCTCCCCTGTGTTCACACTCATCTTTCTTCTTACTCATTTTGTCCATGTACATCTCAGCGTCACTTTCTCTCCTTTCGGGTAATATGTGAGCTCTCCACCTCATTACTGAGATGTCCAGAGGCGAAGGCAGCTGGTGAACCTCTAATATCCTTTATGACCTTTGATCAGCAAAAAGAACAGGGAATGAGATGCGTTAAGTTATTTAACAAGGAGAAAAGAGAGGGAGCAAAGGTTTTTAAGCCTTCAGCAACTCGGCAATTTATTATTTTTGTTATTATTACTTATTACTATGGGAGAAAAATCACAAAGGATGACAAGTGTGAAGATAAGGAGAGAAAAATACTTGGTGGAAATTGTTTTTTAATAAAAGATAACTTTTTTTACAATGTGTTTGTTAAAAAAAAAAACTGTCACTTTGAATCATTTGACAATTTAAATTAATATCCATGATAGTCTGAGAACTTTGATTCTTTGCATAAAAAGTGTGAGATATTCAGCGTAAAATAAAAGTGCATGTGTAAACCATTTCATTTTTTTTATTTTTTATGGGGATCTGGCCTGCAGCTACATTCTTACACAACAATTCATCTTCCATGCTTACAAGGACAGTTAAAAGTTTTTTTTTATGGAGTTGGGATCAAACATTAAATAAAAGTAATTCAAACTTTGAGAGCATGTTCCTGGTGTTTGAGTGTGCGGCGCTTTAGGCCTACAGCAGTTGTTTTTAAATGTACCAAATACATTTAATTTGAATTTATTTGATTTGTCTGTTCTTTCTTGATAATGAGCCCCAGTTTTACGGTATTGCAATTAAAATCCATCCATCATCTTTACCCACCTCTTCCTTTCCGGGTCGTGGGTGTCATTGGTACCCATTTCCAGCTATCACTGTATGAGAGACAGGGGACACCCTGGACAGGTCTCCAGTCCATCACAGGGACACGTACAATTCACTCTCACTCACATCTAGGGACAATTTAGAGTTGCCAATCAGCCTAACATGCATGTTTTTGGTCTGTGGGAAGAAACCGGAGTACCTGGAGAAAACCCACGCGTACACGTAGAGAACATGCAAACTCCACCCAGAAATGCCCCTGGACCGGGATTTGAACCGGGGTGACCTGCTTGCTGAGAAATGGCATCTCTACCAACTGAGCCAGTGTGCTGCCTGTACTTAAAGTTCACAGCACACGAAATAGTTTCATGAAATAATGATCACCAGGAGACAATCAAAGAAAACTTGAAGGGTGTTGCACATTCTAGCTCCACAAAGATTTAGAAATGTATTAAAAAAAAAGACATTTTTAATTGGTCACATCAGTTTTATATCCTAAAGGAAGATTTCTCCCTTATCCTTTTTAGGCGCACCATATGGTATTTATTTTGATTCATGATATCATTTCCCCCTTGTCACAAGAGAACAGAGGAGCACAAGGCCATATACTGATAAACACCAAATTTCTCCAACTTTAACCCCCACCACCAACACCCCTCTAACCTCTTGAGCTTTACAGTCTCAATCAGACCTCAAAGGCACAGACCAGATCTGCCTTCTCCTGTTTCCACATTTAACCATTTGAATACTCAACTTGTTTTTGTCTGTGTCCCCAGCATGCACTCTCACACTTATTAGGTAAACACATGTATAATCTCATTTAGCTGGAAATACATAAAGTGCCAAGTTTAATCCTTGGCAATGAATGTGTGCAGAAAAGGAGGTCAGGCTGTGGATTGATTGTCATTTAGGGTGTTGTGGTTGGAATGATCATCAAAGAAGAAGATCTATGTATTTCATCTATGTTTACCTATTTATGTGAAATTCTTATGTTGATTTCATTTGCGATTGGGTTATCTTCATAAGTTCAAAAACCTGCAAAGGAGAGACCCCAACCATCAGTGACACCTCATCATGGACTTAGAGACTAAGTCAATCAGTTTCCAAAGTGTGTGTTTGCCGTTGCTCATTCTGTCTTTTATCATGATTGTGTGGTTTTTGGTGTTGAACCCAAGTGCAGGCAGACCTCGGAGACTCGGAAGTAGAATAAAGAACTAATTTATTTATGATAACAAAACAAAAGCTGACGGGGCAGCAGACTTACTCCTTCGAGGAGACGCGGAGGGAGAACAGAACTTGACACCATACCGGACAAAACACGGACGAATAGACACAAAGATGCAGAATATAAAGGAACACTAACGAAAGTCAACGAAGAACACCTGGGGGCGATTGGGATAGGGGACAGGTGTGACAGGAGCTGGCAACATGACGGAGAGCAGGACAACACAAGGATCACAAGACGCAAAACCCAGTGATCCTCTCAGTCCTGAAATGCTTCTAAAGGACCAATAACCTGCTTATATCAAGCCAAACATAAGATACTCCCCAGTGCTTGGGTACAGATGAGATCACAATGTTTATTTGAATTTAACTTTGCCAAATCTACTCCAACATCTCTCAGAGCTTTGCAGACTGTTGTTGAAAGTGTCCGTCTTTAGGGAGTCCCTTTTCTCTGAGATTTCCTTTTGGAATGGGATCACAGTTGGGCCATGTGTCTCCTTGGATCAGTCGCTAAAGGGAAAATGCCCTCCTCCTCCTTTCAGCTCCTCGTCTGATGGCTGAGGAGCTCTTACGGGTTGCAGATGGTGAGGCTGAGAGGAAAGAGACTCAGAGGAATGTGGAAATTTGGAAATTCCCTGTTTTTCTTATTCAGCTTGATCAGTGGTTCCCACATATAATGACAGAGGAGACACTTTTCAAAAAGTGCTCTGAGCCATCTGTGTAATCAGGAGATCCTCCAATTGTATTTCAGTAACTTTGATTATGTAAAATTACTATAATCAACACGCTGTTTTGTAAAACTGACTATACTTTTTTTTGTGTGTGTGTGAAGTAAGTAATGACAATTTACCTTTTTTCTTTGAGAAAGTTCCTCTTCTATTGCCACGTAAATTCATTCACGTGTGATCAGCCGCCACTCAGCTTTACTGACAGACACAAGCAGACAGAATAACAGACTTGGCTTGTGGACTCTTTACTTCATCACTTTAAATAGCCATCGAAGTCCATCATCTGAATTAGTGGAAGCAAATTTGACTTCACATGAAGAAGGAGTTCTTTGTTTGTGAGCCAACGTTAAGGCGACCGTCCTTGATGCAAGTTCAGCTCAAGTCAAAGAAAACCAGCAAATAGAAGCATGTGTGTTTGTGCGAGAAACAGAACGGTTCTGTGCATGTGTGTGTGTGTGATTGGACTAGCTAATTACAGGAAGCATGTCTGAACCCTGCAGAACATGACTGCCACATCCCCTCTGTCTCTGCCTCCCAACCACCCAAGCCTTAATGCAAGTCAAACAAACAGTGACTTGTCTCCAGCCTAGAAATCTTATTAGCAACAAAATATACACACTCACCTACTCCTTTGCAGATACCTAATCCCATTTTAAACAAATAAACGTATCTGACTAGGTGAAGTGCGGTTGCTATGTGTGTGCTATAGAAATAGGATAAACATTCTCTCTTTCAATCTCGAAGATCATGTATCAAGAAAAATACACACGTGCTACAACAACAAATTGTGCAATTACCCCCTGCTACACCATGTGTCAAGATATCAGTCAAATTGTTAATTAGCGTAGCTGTAATTTTTGATCTTAGTCACAAATATATTTTTGAGTTTAGTTGACGTTTTGATCAAATGTTGCATAAATCTCCTATACTAAGTCCATGGTAGTAGTATACTACACCTAACTTGCCTTGTGTGCTTGAATCTGCCCAAAGTATTAGAAGCCACCAAGTCCCTCTTTTTACTTTTTACAAGGTCACTGAGTACAACCTATCTGTGTTAATGAAAGTATTTAAGGTTAATAAACTCAGAGGAAGGGCACAGCTCAGGTTTAAGACTCAGTTTAAACCCTTTACCCAAAACATCTCATTAAGCTCACAGAAGTTAGGTAAAGAAAAGGTCTGTGTTTATATTAAGTCAGATAGAGAAATTAAAGGTGTGTGGGTTCATATTTGTGGCAGTTGTGCAACAAAAACGGGTCTGCATGATCTGTATGAATGGGCTCATATTTAAAGATGAATCTGAAATGGCCAACTGGTTTCATTTTAGAGTGGGAGTGACTAGATCCAACTAATGACTGAAAAGACCGGTTCAGTTTCCTGTCTGATAAACTGCTTCCTCACTTAAAAGCGCCACAAGCTGGAGACTATAAATCATATGCTACTCCAGCTGTTGCACAGTGTCTTTTTATGATAGAGCCATGGATAATCACTCATAATCAGTTTCTCAGCAGTTTATTGATGCTTTTGAAGTTTAAATGTGCTACAAGTATTAGTCGTGAAAAGCACATATTAATTCAAGCATAATAAAGTCCTCTAAATGCTTAAGTTTCTTTTTTGTTGTTGTTTTAATCAATCGTTTTTTCATTTGTGACTGACAAGGCTAATTGTTTTCTTGAAAAATTGGTAACAAGTATTCCATAAGGGAATATTTTTTGGGGTCCGTCCGTCTGTACATACATACATACATACATACATACATACATACATACATACATACATACATACATACATACATACATACATACATACATACATAC